CCAGCCCCGCGACACGATGGCCGTACGTGAGTCCCATTTCACCAAATGGGAAGCCGTCGGGGGCTCCTCACACGGCCGCACGAGGAGTCTCTGCGGCTGCCGCCTCGTCGGCCACCGACGCCCAGCCCTCCACGCCACGGTGGTGTGGACAGTGCCCTATGGGTGTTGTGGCCCCTGGGGCACTGGGGCAGGGCCCTCCTCCCAGACCCTCAGATCTTTGTGTTGAAGGGTCGGGCCGCCCGCCAGCTATAGCACGGACAGCTGGTTGTCCTCCAATATCCAGTCCCATCGCTGCCTCAGTGATGGAACCCCAGTGTTATGTGAGGGCCACAGCCCCCCGTGTCCCGTTCTCTCTCGATGTGCTGGCCAGTGGGACACAGAGCTGCGTGCCACGTCCAGAAAGTGCCCCTAAAGGAAGACCGTCCTTCTCATCTGTGCCCTGTCTCCCGTGGTGCGGGCGCGTGCGGTGGGGACGGATGCGACCAGGGGGTCCCGGCCGCAGAGGGAAGTCCTGCCCAGCACAGCCGTGGGGGGGCACCTGGGCCCCGCCCTGTGCCACCCCCCCAGCTCTGGGGCAGGGTGCCCTTGAAATTCTTGAAGATGAGACAAAAAGAAACTTTTGTCTTATCCGAGCCCCTGATATTTGGGAGACTCTGGTAACTCACAGGCCAACTTCGCCCAGACTTCACCCCCTCGGGAGCCAGGGCAGAGGAGGGCGGTCGGGGCCCAGGACGTGTTCTCAAAGACTGGCACCTGAGTCCTCGGCTTTTCTCGTGGTCCCTGCCCGGCCCAGGGCACGTGTGTCTCTCCCGTCGGCGGGTGGAAGACGGCCTTTCTCCTGTCCTGAATCTCCGCCCTCGCCAGTGGGCCGCCCGGTGCCAAGCGTCGTCCTCTTTCTGGCTTTACTGTGACCGCTCAGCGTGGGACAACAGCTGCTGTTCGTGTGGCGGCCAGAGTTGGGGTTCGGAAGGAGAGCGGGGGGACGTGCACGTTCTCGGTGCTCCAGAACCCAGCCTGCCCCATATTCACCGCGGCCCCGGGTTCAGAGGAAGGACGGAGACGCGCCCCCGGGGGCAAGACCCGGTGGGGGGTGACCAGCTGACACTCCCTCTACGGGATTCCGTCATGCGGTGGGTTTTGACGTGATTTTCATTTTGTGTGTTTCTTGGTGGTTTTATTTTAATTTTTTTTTTTAAATTTTTTTTTCAACGTTTATTTATTTTTGGGACAGAGAGCATGAACGGGGGAGGGGCAGAGAGAAAGGGAGACACAGAATCGGAAACAGGCTCCAGGCTCTGAGCCATCAGCCCAGAGCCTGACGCGGGGCTCGAACTCACGGACCGCGAGATCGTGACCTGGCTGAAGCCAGACGCTTAACCGACTGCGCCACCCAGGCGCCCCATCTTGGTGGTTTTAAATTTCAAACATCAAGAGGCCGGAGTCAGGAAGGTACAGTCTGAGAACCACGGAGAACCCACTCCCCAGCTGCAGAGAGGTGCCCAATGTTGCCGTTCTAAGGACAGTGCCCCTCTCGGGGTGGCCCCAGAGCAGCGCCTGAGAACTTCCAGCTCAGACCAACCAGGAGAGGCCTCAGTCTTCCCCACAGAAGAATGGCTTTACTGTTTCTGGGTTTTCTGTAAATAATGAATGAGCCTACTATTGCCTGGACCTCAGGAGGAAGTACAGCATCTGGTTAAAAATGTGGATTTGGGAGGGGCGCCTGGGTGGCTCAGTCGGTTAAGCGGTTAAGCGTCCGACTTCGGCTCGGGTCATGATGTCACAGTTCGTGGGTTCGAGCCCCGCGTCCGGCTCTGTGCTGACAGCTCGGGGCCTGGAGCCTGCCTCGGATTCTGTGTCTCCCTCTCTCTCTGCCCCTCCCCTGCTTGCACTCTCTCTCTCAAAAATAAATAAACATTAAAAAAAAGTTTTTTTAAATGTGGATTTGGGGGAGAGACCTGAGGTCCTCCGCTTACTACCTACTGACCTTGGACATGCTGGTTAACCTCTCTTTGTCTCCATTTCCCCTTCTCTGCACTTAGGGAATATTACCCAGTGTCATGGAGGTGCTGTGAGGGTTTCATGAGATAACATAAAATGCTTGGGATGGGAGGCGCCCGGGTGGCTCAGTCGTTTAAGCATCTGACTATTGATCTTGGCTCAGCTCATAATCTCATGGTTTGTGTGTTCAAGACCCGCACCGCGCTCTGTGCTGACAGCATGGAGCCTGTTTGGGATTCTCTCTCTCTCTGCCCCTCCCCTACTCATGCACTTCTCTCTCTCTCTCTCTCTCTCTCCAAATAAATAAAAATTTTTAAAATGCTTGGGATGGGGGGCGCCTGGGTGGCGCAGTCGGTTAAGCGTCCGACTTCAGCCAGGTCACGATCTCGCGGTCCGTGAGTTCGAGCCCCGCGTCGGGCTCTGGGCTGATGGCTCGGAGCCTGGAGCCTGTTTCCGACTCTGTGCCTCCCTCTCTCTCTGCCCCTCCCTCGTTCATGCTCTGTCTCTCTCTGTCCCAAAAATAAATAAATAAATAAATAAATAAATAAATAAATAAATAAATTAAAAACAAAACGTTGAAAAAAATAAAATGCTTGGGATGGTACCTGGTACAGAGCAAGTTCTGGATAAATCTGAACTATAGTTTTTAATAGTCTTGTTGTTTCTCCGAACTCCCAAGCAACCAGATTTTCATAGTTCTTTCACCCCCAAATCAGATTTGCCCAAGAAAGCAGCAGGTGCTGCAGGGAGAGATTTGGGATTAGTCCGACCCAACAGCTCCAAAAACCAACCGTGACACGCATGCAGTTTAAATGTGCACATCCTTCTCACAAGTGGGGGAAAAAGGTAACACACTTCACTCGGACAGGAACCCAGAACAAGGTTAATGCCACCCACAAGGCTGAAGAAGTCAGTGAGCGAGCGGGGACTGCGAAGATGTGCCACGGCCCTGGGAACGGGATCTTAAGACCACTGCCCAGAGCACATTCAGGACTTCCCTCTGTCCTTCCATTCAACCCATAGGCCTGTGGCAGGGGACAAATGGATAATCAGAAAAGCCAGGAATGGAAGTCTCTAAGACCAAGAAACTCATTCGTAAGAGACCACGCCTCTCAGAATAGTCCCCCCTCTTCTTCATTTTTTATGTTTAGAATGGAAGCTCGTAACCTCTCCTGCGATCTGGTCCAGAAGATCTAAATACAAGGCCCAGTTCCTTGCTTCGGCAGCACGAGCCACTTACCATCTCTGAATTTAGCTTTCTCGAAGCTTTGAAATGGAGATGATAATATCGGCTTTAAGATGTCGCCGTGACTGAGGGAGTTCCTATCTACGAATGTGTCTCGAAATGGCCTTTGAAAAGTGTCTTTGTTTAGTAAGCCTAATAGGTCTCTGACTTGCTCCAGTGACATCTTGAAACATCAGTCATTCAACCTTTAGCTGCACAGAGGAGGCAGAGGTAGGACAGACAATAGGACACGTTGCCCTTCACAAGCAGATGCAGGGAGTGAGCTGGTGGAGTGGAGATGGTTGACACGCACGTGCACTACAGATGTGGGGACCACGTGGCATGGAGGCTGGTGTGACATTCCTGGGTGATCTGCAGCTTTCTGTATCCCCAGAACCCACCTAGAGGTGGGTGCCAGGAGGTCACAGATGCTCGGATGGTTAAGGAGCCATAAAACCAATAGATGGAGATGTGGGAACTACTTCCGGGTCAGAGCAGAGTCCAGGCTCTTCCCGTGACTTCATGCTGCCTCTCTAAGAACGCACCGTGTTCTAGGCACAAGGCTGACAGGGAGTGCTTCCTGCCCTGCTGTCACCACCCCCTACCCCCCGTGTGAAGTGGGTTCCAGGCCCTGAACTGTCAGCACAGAGCCCGACACGGGGCTCAAACCCATGAACCATGAGGTCAAGACTTGAGCCAAAGTCAGATGCTCAACTGGCTGAGCCACCCAGGCACCTACCCCCAACTTTTAAATTCTTTAAAATAGAATTTGGCAGACGAGAACATTCTTTTGTTTGCTTGTTCCAAGTTGCCAATATCCATTCTCAAAGGAAGATCAAAGACTGCTCAGGCCCAAACCCATGGCCTCACGTCCCTGAGACCATCACTTAGCCGAGCAGGCCAGAAGTGCTGACAACATAGCCCCATGCCTTTCCCCAGGCCTCCGATTCACATTAGAAATATTTTTTCCCCAAGGTGCTCCAAAGCAAGGGTATTACGTTGTCTTTGGTTTCTTTCACAGGGAAAGAAATTTTAAAACAAAGGTTTTTGTGTATTCTAGGAACGAAATCACCTCTTCCACCAGAACTTAAACCAGTTACTACATAACTGGTGGTAAACTGAACTCTTTGATATATTTACTACAATAGTTTATAGTTGGCATAGGAGTCTACCTTCTAGAATCACCAACAAGAATGAAAACCAAGAGTGAAACTCAATACAACATTCCTCAAGCAAAGGTGGCAGAAACCGCTTCCTAAAAAAGTTACAGTACTTCTGGCCTGCGGATGAGGATCATGTTTTATTCTGTGAGTCGTATGTAAACGTGATTCGGGTATGGTCTGCCGGGAGAGTCGCCATGTTTGAAAAACAAGTGCCCTTCAAGAAAGCTACACCTTGAAATATTTTTGCCGAGATAAATACTCCCAATACAAAGACATTTTCTTTTGGAGGGAATGAAACAACACAGATTCTAGGAAACCAGTTACAGAGGCCTCTTTTATAGCCATATTTAAACTCGACTGGATCTTCGAAATACTTTAGATAATTAAGTAACTGGTAACCACCAACAGCTCCTGCTAGGAAAGTAGATAACAGAGGCCAGGGCTTTGGGAGATTTTTTTAAAAGAAAGAAAATAAAGTAAAACGAGGCACATTTGGTATTTGTTCAGAATATTGGTTTAGGGGCAGGTAAGTGAGGAAGAGCACAGAAAAGTAAGGGTTTCTAAGCGTTTCTTCAGGTGCAAACCCCATCTTCGATCTCAGCGAAGCATCTCTCTCACGTGCCTGCACGTTCTGTTGTTTGGATCTGAAGGTAAATCGTGTTTTCTTTGGGCTTTGCTATCCTGTAGCCACCAAAAACAAAAATGAGCGTTAAAATAAACAATGTTTTGACCAAGAAACTATTGCAAAAGAGAGAAGAGAAAAGAAACTATTGCAAAATTGTCCACAGGAATACGTCTCAAAACAAAAGGAGAAAAGGAGGGTAGCAAGGAACACAAAAAGGACCAGCAAAGGGATATCTCAAGAGATGACCCGGTGCTTATCAATGAATTGTAATGACATAGTTTAAAATCTGATAATCAGGGGGGCCTGGGTGGCTCAGTCGGTTAAGTGTTCGACTTCGGCTCAGGTCATGATCTCATAGTTTCGTGAGTTCGAGCCCTGCATCGGGCTCTGTGCTGACAGCTCAGAGCCTGGAGCCTGCTTCAGGTTCTATGTCTCCCTCTCTCTCTGCTCCTCCCCGGCTCATGCTCTGTCTCTGTCTCCTTCAAAAATAAATGAAAACATTAAAAAAAAAATTTTTTTTTAATCTGATAATCAATATTAGCTACCTATTTGGGACCCAAAAAGGCATATTGTCATCAACTAGAAAATGCATTTACAGGGGCGCCTGGGTGGCGCAGTCGGTTGAGCGTCCGACTTCAGCCAGGTCACGATCTTGCAGTCTGTGAGTTCGAGCCCCGCGTCAGGCTCTGGGCTGATGGCTCAGAGCCTGGAGCCTGTTTCCGATTCTGTGTCTCCCTCTCTCTCTGCCCCTCCCCCGTTCATGCTCTGTCTCTCTCTGTCCCAAAAATAAATAAACGTTGAAAAAAAAAAATAAAAATAAAAAATAAAAGAAAATGCATTTACAGTTAAAATAGAGTGTCCCAGGGCACCTGGCTGGTGCAGTCGGTTAAATGTCCGATCTTTAATTTCAGCTCAGGTCATGATCTCACGGTCATGAGACTGAACCCAAATCGGGCTCTAAGCTGACCACAAGGAATGTGCTTGGGATTCTCTCTCTCCTTCTTTTTCTGCACCTACCCCCCACCACTTGTGTTCTCTCTCAATCTCTCTCAAAATAAATACGCTTTAAAAAAAAATAGTTTTGTCCCTTATCAGTACGGAGACATCCAGAATTTGTCAAAGTGAGGTTTATGAAGCACTTATGAGCTTCATTGGCAGAGCTTATTAACAGCACAGATCCCTGGGTCCCACCCTTCATTTACTAAATCAACAAACCTAGAAGGCTCGGGAATCTGCATTTCAGTAAGCTTCTTCTTTTGTGATCCTTCTGCATATTAAGTTTTGAGAATCACTGAGGAGTTTACACAATATGCAAGAAGAATGGAGAAAATCTAAGGTTTATCGAACACCTACTATGTGTAAGGCACATGATCAGTCACTGTCCCCCCACCTTATCTCATTGAATGTTCCCAGCAATCCTCCAAGGTGAGTATTAGTGTGGCTATTTGTCAGGCAAGGAGGTAAACTTCCTGTAAGGTTCAACGACATCCCCAAAGTCATGTGGCCGAGTAGATGACTGGATTTGAGCCCAGATCTCTTTGACTCCCTAGATCATTCTCTCTATGTCACAGGGACTCATGCTCTTTCCTATGGAATCCATAGAGCGAGCCTGGAGGGGGACCCGAGAGGCTACCTCCTCAAGCATTGCTTATTCCTTTCCTTTTTTATTGCTGTAAGAGAAGAATCTGAGACTCCATTAAAGTCCTCGTCCCTGTCACAAGAATGAAAGTTTTAAGTCCCTCTTCCTTTGTAAAGAAAGTCATTAAAGAGTCGGAATCAACGGGGGCGCCTTGGTGGCTCAGCTGAGTGTCCAACTCTTGATTTTGGCTCAGGTCATG